GGGGGGGGGGCATTGCTTTAGAAATTCCCTTTAATTTTGATTCCTGAAGAGACTTCTTGATGTGTTTTCCAGACATTTGGTGAGACTAGGAAAAACCAACAGGGTCGTGGCCGGGGAGCTCGCATGTCAGGGGCATCTCGAGGCTCATATCGTGGAAGAGGCTATGACAATGCACGTGGTGGCCGCGGCCAAGGAAGGACTGTCTGGGGTCGCGTCACTTGAAATGAGCTTCTATGTGTGCCTGTGAATGATGTTCAGGAGGTAGATGGTTGACATCACTTGGCAATATCTAGTTATAGTAAACTTTTAGTCAGGTTTAGCGTGACAGTATTGTTAGTATAATAAACAAGGACAGTAAGGTAGAGTTTACTGCTGAACACTGAGGTTCAAAGATAAGCTATCGCAAGACTTGGAGTTCGGTGATTGTAGGAGTATGTAATTAGTCACAACTGGTTACCTGATGCATAAACACCTTTGGTTTACTAGGAGAAACTAGTAGCAACAGTTGCTGCTTTGAATAAAATCTGTCATGAACTTTGTGAATAACAAAGCATTGACATGAAAAAATTGACAGTCTTGGTTTTTGGCAGTGTTAAAATTCCGTGGCAAGCTAGAGGCAACCAGCAGTAGGATTATGGATGACAGCAACTACCCTGCTGGATACGATTGGTACATTTCCAGAAACTGATAGTAATAGCTTGCGTATGTTACAAACAATTGAGGAGGTATGTTTGGTAATGAGCGTGGAAGAATGGAGGGTTAAAGGTACTGGCACTTTTGAAATTTTATCACAGGTTGAATTGTTTTTATGAGGGAGTGCTGGTGTAACCTGAGTCAGTAGGTTGGGTTATTGACCAAAGGAATCTAGGTACTAATTAGAATTGGAGCTAATTATTAACTATGTTGTTTCTTTTGTTGTAGTAATAAGTAGATGAAAGTATCGTCTTTGTTACATGCTTCAAAAAAACTAGAACTTATTATCCCCAAATAGGGAGGATTTTCATTTTAAAATTTGGTTGTATTTCATCGCGATTGTTTGGTGAAAAAAGATGACTAATGCATCGAATTACAACGAGTTTGAGATTGATGTGTAATTAGTTGATTGGACTTTCCTTGTGAGTAACTAGATTGATGATAAAAATGTATTGGCTGGGACGTACAAAAATGTATTTAAATCATGCATTATGGGACGTGGAAGACATCGTACCTGAGGCGAAGTCAGGATTTGAAACTTATGAGATCGAGGTTTTAGTCTTTTTAAGTTACTGGGTTCTAAGTTAATAATTTATACATATTCAATGAATTTTTTAAGACAAATACATGAATTGAACCAAAGTGATTAAGTTCAGCCGAATCCATACTCAGATGGGCTACCTCCACCCCTATCTACGTGATTAAAATACCTTGTTTTCACGTTGAACGGGGTCGCAAGAGTTTGTGTCGTAAAAACTAAGGCAAACAATTACGGTCTTTGCGTTCAGTGCATTTCTTTTTATCTTGTTATTCTTCTGAGTTAAATTTTCCTTTTTGAGAAGCAAAGTCAGGGCACGTACATTTTACCAAATTAAAACTATTAGAAACTGTTTAAAATCAATTAGGATTCCTTTAAACAACAATGTAGGAGTGGTTGATAACGCAAATGCAATTTTAAACAAAGATGCCTCCTTTTATATCACACGTCAAGAAATTGATTTAATTATTAGCTTTTCCTTTATCCGTTGTCACCAAAGGACGATTTAAATATTAGCAACTTACGTCTTTGCTTTGTAATCACATTACACATATGAAAATGACAAAATGTACTGTCCAAAAGTTGTATAGGAATTTGTTTTTTTTTCCTGGCAAAGTTAAAGGGAGAAAATAATTTTCATAATTATGACACATTGGTGCCTAAGATGGCAGATTTTCGAGGACATGACCCTTGATAGAAAGTTGTGGAGATCGAGCATTAGAGTTGTAGGTTAGGAGATAGGAGGCTAGTGTGACAGTGTTTTATTTTAGGCTGCTAGTGGCTCTAGTTGGGTCCTTAATACTTCATTAGGATTGTAGGTTAGGCTGTAGTATGTTAGTGACTCTTGTTGTGTCCATATTATTCCCTTGCATCTGTAATAGTGTCATTGCTACTGCTTAGTGTTATTATTTTTCTCTCTATTTTCTGGTTATTACGTTGCTGGTATTATTTTTCTGGATTCCTTTGGTGTTATTGATACACTGTCTCTTTCCTTCTTCTTGTGCCAAGGGTCTATAGAAAACAATTTCTCTACTCCTCCGGAGTAGGGGTAAGGTCTGCGTATGCACTATCCTCCCTAGACCCCACTTGTAAGATTTCACTGGATTGTTGTTGTTATTATAGTACTAGTATTTTAATCAAATATGTAATTCAGGCAAATGGAATTTGACTAAATCAATGAGTCTCTTTGTGTTTTTGCTAAATAGTTAAAACGAAAAGCAAAGAAAATTTCTTCGCCCTCCCGGCTTTTACTGTTCCATATCCTATAATATGGCGGACACGCAAACTAGTAGAGAAACTACCAATCTTATGGCCTGTTTGGTCAATATGCAAAAATCAGTTTATTTTGAAAATTATTTTTTCTAAAAGAAATTGAAAAGCATTTTTGACCAATAATAAGTGTTTGACCCAAGTTTTTAAAAACTACTTCTAAGTGTTTTCTTTCCTCAAAAGTGATTTTCAGAAAAATATTTTTGGAGAGAAACTACTTTTTTTTTACTTTTCAAAAATTGCATCTGCTTCTCCTCAAAAACACTTTTTTTTCCTTCTAAAACCTTGGTCAAATATCTCAATTTTTGGGAAAAAACAATTTTGGCGAAAAAAAATATATTTTTGGACCCCAAAAGAAGCTTGGCCAAACAAACTATTATATTGCTCTCAAGTCTAAACTATCCATTTCCTTAATTTTCTCCCTCCAATTGAAGGTAAATATCCATTTCACATATATAATAAACAAACATTCCTCTGATCATTTGCAGAGAAGACTAGAACTCTGTAGCTGAAAACAAGCTCAACTTGTATCCAAGAAAACACACAAGTAAGAGAAGAATTCAGAGGGGTTGAATATGGATATAAGGAAAATTGTGGTAATTGTAGAAGATGTGGAAATAGCAAAAACTGCACTCCAATGGACTCTTCACAATCTCTTGCGATATGGGGATATACTCATCCTTTTACATGTTTTCCCTATCACAAAATCAAGAAATAAGAAAAAGGTTAAGCTTTTACGACTCAAAGGTTTTCAATTGGCTCTCTCCTTCTATGACATCTGCAAAAAAATTCTCAATGTATGTCTCTCTTAAATTTTCGAGGTTAAATATAGTAACAATTTTTATTTTCTCTTGTCTATGTTACTGATATAATATATGATAGAAGGGTTATGTTACAGACCAAGACAGAGATTGTGGTAACACAAGGGGATCAAGATGGTGGGAAGATTGCTGAAATGGTTAGAGAAATTGGTGCTTCTACTCTTGTTGCTGGACTTCATGATCAGAGCTTTCTTTACAGGTAGAACTCATATGAATCCTCTTTAATTTCGTTGTTATAAGTTTGCAATCTCCTGTTTTAATGTTCATTTTCCTTGGGAAGATTTATCTTTTATTTTGATTGAGTTAACTTTTAGTATTATGCTTTTTGTGAGTCGAAGATCTATCGAAAACGATATCTCTACCTTTATAAGATAGGGATAAGACTACGTACACACAACTCTCCCCAGACTCCACTCGTAAAATTACACTGTCAATTGAGAATTTTTAGTATTATGGTTCATCTGCTTTTGCGTTTTGCAATCTTCTGTCAATAGTTGATCAAACGATTAAACTAAAGATTCGGTAATTGAATCGATCAACTATAGAATTGAGAATGGATAGACCACCAAAGCATGTGGTGTAGCGGATAGGGCTGCTCTTTCCTTAACCAGAGGTCTTGAGTTCGAGCCTTGAGTATGGAAAAATCCTTGGTAGGGAGCGCTATCCCCCGAATCGGGCCCTGCCTGGCGCAAATCCGAATATAATCGGATTCCAATGCGGGTACCGAACACCGGGCGAGAAACCTATAAAAAGAGAATAGATAGGAATTCCTAAAACCCAAGGCCCACAACTATAGTTGGTCAACTGCCACTTTTTCTTGTACATTAACCTAAAATTGCCCCATTCCAACCTCTCTTTTTCCCTCAGTCTATTAAGTAGTTGAGGTAGAGTCTTATATATTGAACAGAGAATCACGGTTGACACTTGCATTTGATCTTATTGGACCTTGTGATTTTATGCTTCAATCTACCCAAGCTAGGTTCCTAGCAAGGATTAGCAACAAATTTTAAATCAGTAAGAACAAAGTACCATAGCACGTTATAGCTGATACTTGTGCTGGTGGAAGACAGTAAATTGAAAGATCGATAGAATAGTCAAGTCCTAGCATTATTTTATGGAACATTCTACCTTGAACTCTATTTAGTTCTTCATTATTTTTACTCTATTTAGTTCTTTGTTCTCTTAAAAGATATTGACTTCGAAAAGGATTTGTCATTTGATTATTAACGTGTCATAGAGCTCCTAGTTTCATGTTGTATATTAAATGTTGTGTGCTAGACTGGCCATCCCTGTTTCTACTCTGGCACATTTCCATTAGATGGCTGTTAATGCAATTTTTGTGCTCATTATTATTGTCTGGTAATTAATGTTTCATGTCCTTCACACGAAACTCAGAATATCTTCTTCATAAAGATTTTTTTAAAGATCTCAACTCTTTAAGGAAACTGCAATTAAGTTTCAATAAATGATATTGCATTGACCTAGTTGTTATGTGTACATGGACCATACCAAAACATAAGGCTGATATCCAAAAGCGTATTCAAGAGAGTAGGAATTGAACCGCTGACCTTGGAGGCGGACACCCTGTTACCGCTAAGCCAAAGTGCTCACTTGAGCTTGGGTTCAGACATACTTATTTAAGAATGTAACCCGAAAAATATTAGTGTTATACATAATTTAAGGAGGTGAGCATGCCTTCACGTTAACCCAATCTCTACCACCTAAATCCGCCCCTGCTGATATCAACTAGGTTGGTTGATGGAATATATTGGTTAATTCCCTAATTCCACGATCAGCTGGCTCTGTTGTATGCATATGTATACATAGTTCGAGCTGAAAGCAACGAGTCCAGTTGAATTCGTGGAACTAATAAAACCACTGTTCCTTTTCTTTCTTGGATAGATTGGCCATGACCCACAATCACATTGCAAGAAATTTGAATTGCAAAGTACTAGCCATCAAGCAACCAACACCATCACCGATGGCCACAAGGACAAGAACCATTTATTTTCAAGATAGTTCAACCAACATGGACTTTTCGCAGATTGAAATTGATGCACTGAGGTAAGAATATGATTCCTAATACTAAACATAACAATTCTTTTATTGCTGGACCCGAGTCTCTTACCTGCTCAATGTACTATAATCTGTGGTCCAGACATTTTTTAAATAGTAGTAGTAATTAATTCTCTACTTTCCTCTAGGTTCTAGAAGCAGCGAAAATATAATGCAGAATAAATCAAGGATACTTTATCTTGTTTTTAATTATAGTTTAAGCTACTAAGTTTGCAAACTTAGACAAAACAGTAACTGAACTGGGTATTTTATTAAATGGATCAGTTGGATAATATGTTCATTAATTCATCTAGCTAGTTATATATATATGTTCTGCAGTCTTTCATTAGGTAGTTTCTCTTGTCATTTGTAATTTTCGTGTGTATGAGGACTAATAATTTACTAATATGTACAAGTATACGGTACAAATATAAAGAAAATGGCCAAAGAAAGTTATCTTTGTCCCCCTGATTATTGAATTGTTTGTCATGTATACAGTGTCCCAGAAGTTAATCCACCAAAAATTCCATACCAAGTTTGTCCAGATCCTCATTCTATCATTTGGAGATCAGGAAGATCAAGAAGATGGGAAACAAGACATTAAATCAAGCAAATATTTGTCATTTCAATGAGGGAATCTATGTATAATTTTTTCCACCATGTATTTTGTGATAGCAAAAACTGCTTTACATTTTTCGGTTTGGCCCACACAAAATTTAAAAAAAAAAAAGAGAAGAAAATTGTTATACAAAATACAACAAAAACTGAGGTCGGCGTGGGGTAGCAAGAAGTGGGGGATTAGAAATCGTTTCATTAAAGTAAAAGCTTTTTCTCTCTCGGCGCATGTTAGGTGAATAATTAACCTGCGCCGTCGACGGAAATGGGAGGAAGAGGAAGAGCGAAGAAGAACACCATCAAAACGCGAGTTGTAGAAAGAAATTAACGGGCACCATCACACGCGAGCAAGGGAAACGAAATACTAAAGCAAAAGAGAAAATGCAGGAGGAAGATCTGGACCAAGACAGTGACAACGACCCAAATTGACCAGATCTGGGCAGTAATCGAGTCAAAATGGTAACACCGGTGAGTTCTAGCAATCAATTGACATCTATGGTGAACTCTGGCAAAGTAATTGCTACAGCACTGAGTGCAAGTGAGCAGCCAAGCTCGAGCAAAGTGCAGACCAATGGAACAATACATGCAAGCCCACCTAAGGAATAGAGAACGCAGAGCTTGATAACCAGCAGAAATTCAGCATAATAAAACAGAACCAACAGCGGAGACGGGAAGATCATGGACAGGGTTACTCCAAGAGAACAAATTGGCACCAAAAGGTATGAATCTAATTTACATACCCTCAGTGATGAAGGATGGTGAAGTAGTGGTACAATTGATGGAAGAGGACATCGAAGAAGAGAACCAAAAGTGGAATCGAGCCGTTATACTCTATGTGGTGGGGAATACTCCATCAATTGGGGCTATTGAGAAATTCATAGCTAATCAATGGGTTAATGTTCATAAACCTAAGGTGCTCTTCCATAATGATGAGTATTTCATAGTACTGCTAAATAACAGTGAAGAGAGGGAGGATGTGATACTGAATGTGCCTTATACAATTAACAGCAGGCCAGTTATAATTAGACCATGGTCGGAAAACTTTGATTTCAATGAAGAAGTGTTGAAAATCATTCCCCTATGGGGTCAAACTCCCAAAACTGTCACTCAACTACTGGAGTAAACATGCCCTAAGTAAAATTGGAAGTGGTTTGGGAAAGCCATTGTACGCTGATGTTAATACCACAGTGGCTGAAAGAGTCTCATACGCCAAGATCCTGATTGAAATGGATGTCATAAGACCACTGCCAAAAAGATTAAACTGTATGATCCTAGAGGTAAGGTGATTGAACAGATGGTTCAATATGATTGGAAACCACAATACTACCAAACATGTTGCCAATTAGGTCATTCATGTAGGGATCAAAAGAAGTAGAAACATGAAGGAATGATACAAAAGAGTATGGAAATAAAGCAGAAGCAGGAACGGAAAGAAGTCAGAATTCTTGAGCCTGTTGTAGATAAAATAGATGCTCAAGGAAGATTCCTTGATCAGTTGGAGGCAGCGGAAAATATACAGCTAAGTCAGTAGGAAGCTGAACCACATGTGGAAAATTGCTCGAGAAAAATCTGCTACAGAGAAGAATGCAGAAGTTACAAAGGAGAATGAAGTGGACATTGGCAATGCCTTCAAAACACTAGATGTTATAACTCAAAAGATAGTTCAACTATCTGAAGCCCAAGGTGTGAGAGAGAAGTAGAATATGAAGGATAGGGAAGGAGTTCCACAACAAATATATATATCATGAGGAATATTATAGCATGGAATGTTAGGGGTTTGAATAAAGTATATAACCAAAAAGAACTAAAAAAATTTTGCAGAACAAATAAAGTGGTATTGGTGGCCATTATAGAACATAAAGAGAAGAGAAACAATGCAGTTTCAATAATAAATAAGACCTTTAACAACTAGAAATGGGTTGACAACTACAATGAAGCTCCAAGTGGTAGAATATGGGTAGCATGGGACCCAACTCAAATGGATTATTTTATGACCAGAACTCATGAGTAATTTATAATGGGGAAGGTAACTACGATTCAGCATAGAACTAGTTTTTATTACTGTGCAGTCTATGGTAAACACACAATTCAAGATAGGAAAAACTTATGGGAGGAGTTAAAGGTGTTAGTGCAGGGTATAAACAGTCCTTGCCTCGTAATGGGTGACCTCAACACTATCCTAACTAGTGAGGATATGATCAATGGCAACCCTGTGCAAGAGATTTAGATAAGGGATTTCAAGAATTTTCTAATAGATGCAGGATTAGATGAGCTAAAAATTGTGGGAAGACAATACACATGGACTAACAATCATTGTGTCACCTCCTTTTTTCCGAGGGGATAGGGATAGGGAGTTTTTCTAATTTAAGTGAAATTAATCGAAATGAGATTATTTATTTAATTTTAGACTCACCACTTGAGATAATTTATGGTGTCCCAAGTCACCGGTTTCTTTTTAAAATCCCAAATCGAGGAAATTTGACTCTATTTATGGTCTGCGAACAAAGAAGACCGGGTAAGAAATTTTGTTAACCCGGGAGAAGGTATGAGATACTCCCGAGTTTCGTAGTTTTAACACGGTCGCTTAACTATTAATAATTGGCCTCATTAACTTTATTTATGGAGTTATTTCTGGAACAAGTCACCATTGTCGTACACTTGTCGTTTTGGTACACATTGCAAATCGCGCCACATAAAATACACCCGCGATTTACAACATGTTTATTTTTATTATTGTTCGAAGTTGTGGTCGGGTCACATGAAATGCACACCCGAATTTGGATTTATGTATCGCAACTATGCCACGGGAACCGTACCCATAGTCACGATGTTTATTATTAATCGCGCCTAAAGCAAGCTACGATGTTCATAATTACTAAGATTTAGGATTATTGTGAGGCTTAAGAGTTATGCATTCTTCTGACTTAGCACCACTCATGGCCTATTATTATTCCTTACCAAGAAGAAAACAACTCTAATTTTTTATCTATCCAATTTAATAACTCACTTAAACCACCACTTCAATATGTTAGAACAAAGACAACGTAACATAGCCATATAAGTAAGAAAACTAAGTCAAAGTCTATAGCATATTTAACAGAAATCGTCCAACCAAACTTACATGTATTCAAACGAATTAATCTCGAGAACCAATATAGAACCCAAATAATATGCAACCAGTACACAATTAATATGAAAGAGATCAAGTATTTTCCATAGAGCAAATGAAATCTATCACGAGCAAATGGAAACACTAATATATATGTAAACAAATACTAATAAAAATAGATTCGAATGGACCTTTATATTGATGAATAAAGCTGAAAATTTGCAACTCAATCGGAATAACAAAACAAAAATCATTGGACTGAAACGCCAAAATTGCGAACTGGAATCTCGAATCGGCATAGGAAAACTCGAAACTAAAATACGACCTCAATCAAACTCCATGAGCCGAGATCAATATGGTTAACGCCAGTACTGGTAGTAACGATAACACATAACGAATACATGAGGCAGAACAAAGAGGAAGAAAACTTGCCAACGAAATCTTTAGGAGAAGAAATCATGGCTTATACGGATTGAGAAGGTATGGAAATTAATTGTTTCAATGGAAGTGAAGATTGAAGATTCCCATTGTTTAAGGAATTGGAATTTGTGGGACAACTGTTCGCCGTAGATATTGAAAAACGTTTGATAGGTTACAAATACCTTGGGCATAAGAACTTTACTTTATGTTTTAATGATCTAACAAACTTACCATCCAAAAACAGATAAGGAACCTGTTACATATTTACAAGACCATAAGATCACAAAGTTCCAGGTCCCTACCAGTTCCCGAGGAGACTGTATAAAGTCAACTCTCCAGTTGGAAAGTTGCTGCCTACACACGCTACTGTACAGGAACAATACATCAGTTAACTTTCTGTGGGAGGCTTTTTACCTACCTTGCTTACATCATTGTAAGCGATTTCACACATGTATAAATACAATCAAGGAAGGTAAAATAGCTTACTTCATAAGAGAACAAGATAAGGAATCTGATACAATTAAGTTCCCTTGCATTTAGAATAACTAGTCAGATGTCTGCTTCAATTCTCAATGAAATCAGATAAGGAAACAACAGAGGGACCAGAAAGGGATTGGTTTCCCTCGTCGTTGTATAATCAGCTCTAAAGCTGTAAAAGATGTTGCACTGTACCGTCTGGCAGACTGCTGCACTGTACCATCTAGCAGCAGTACAACAACACACTTGTAGCTTGCTAATGCCAAACTAAAGAGCACTTTATTGCATCATCGTTGATGACATCACAAACACATATTATCAACATGAGGTAAGGGATTTCATCACTTGAACACTTGCAAAATCAAAAGAAAATATTCTCTAAGTGCTAGCCACAACCTCTCTCAAGAACAAAGCTGCTGCAACCTCAAGGACCAGATCCAAAGATTGAAGCTATCTTAAGTCCTTAGGTTTGTTGAGTCTTTGTTATTTGTTCTTCATTTGTAACTCCTACTTAACTTAGTTAGAAGCATTGTGTAGGAACCCCTTTGTAAAATCATAAACTTTCTGAGTTTGTGTTGTGACTAGAGTTAGTCATAAGTTGAAATCTTTGTAACTAGTGAGTGACGAAGTGGCTTGTGGTAAGTATATCACAAGTTAGTTGAGTTGAAGTCTTTGTAACTAGTGAGTGGCTTGTGGTAAGTGTATCACAAATTAGTTGAGTTGAAGTCTTTGTAATAGAGTCACTATAAAGTGGCTTGTAATAGTGTGTTTACACGGTAGTGAAGATGATGATGATGAGGTAAACTTTCTGGACGTACAAAGAAATTTGAAGTTTTATTCTAAAAAGAAGCTGTTATCTTTGAATATTGTTTTAATTGATGCTTATCACAGTCTTATAAATGATAAAGTTTCTTTAACTGTGGAGTTAGGAGAAGCAGAAGAGACCAGAGATGACCTAGTAGTCGCTGTAGCTGATTTAAAGGAAACAATTGAAAACCTGAAGAAAGATAAGGATGCCTTAGATGAAAAAATTGCAAATTTAGACCTAAAAGAGACCATTGAGAGTGTAAGTAGAGAAAAAACAGTCTTAACAGAGAGAGTTGCTAGCATTGAGCATGAGAGAGATGACCTACTAGTGGTTGTATTGGACTTGAAGGAAACAATTAGGGAACTTAAAATGGAGAGTAGGCATGAAAATTCTCAAAAAGGAAAGAAAGTTGCAAGTGAGGCATAGATTAAGCTTGAAAGTGAGTTAAAATTAGTGAAATCTAGTTTGTGTACCGAGCTTGAGAAAAACAAACAGCTTCAGGAAAAACAAGAGTGATAATGAAAAATCACTTAAGTGGACCTGGTCCTCTGATGCTATCATTGTCTTGTACACAAACAATGGGGGAAATAGGCAAGGAATCGGGTTCCAAAGAAAAAAGACTCCCTACAACCCTCATAGCAAGTACGTTACTGTACCTGACAATTGACTTTGCACTCACTGTGGCAACACTGGGCACTTTAAAGAAAATTTAAGGCTAGAATTCAGTCTTAACAGAAAAACAAAGTTTTTGCTGAAAACGTAACTGCTGCTACGGAACTTCGTCCTTCACATAAAAAACGTCTAATGCCTGCTTGGACCATAAGAGCCCTCATTCACCCCTTTCCTCGTTACAATGGACCCAAACTTATTTGGATTTCTAAGTCCAACCCTTAATTTCCTTGTGCAGGGAACAGTCAATAGTGGTACATAGATAGCGGCTGCTCGAAGCACATGATTGGAAGTACAAATGATTTTCTTTCACTGAAGGCCCTGTAGGGAGGGAATGTATCCTTAGAATATGGAAAGAAGGGATACATTCTGGGAGTTGGAAGGATCAAGAAGTCTTTTTCCCACTCTATTGAATATACGTACTACGTGAAGGGGTTGAAGTATAGCTTGCTGAGTATTTTGCAAATCTGTGAAAAGGGGATCTTAGCTATTTGGGT